CGTATGACATCCAAAGATCTGCGAAAGCTTCCTATATAAGGAAGTTATTGAAGATCAAGTTCGATACATTTTTTTGGGGCACTCTGTATATGCAGATAATTCTTCAACACATATCGAAATTGTTATTACTATATACAAAAGATAATGGCCAACCTGAATAGATACTCCTGGTGGCACTATTGCGCTCATCATGGCCTGTGGTGGTCCACCCGGAGGGGGACCGATTTGTTGAGCTATTTGAGTTTGAGCACTACGTGGTTTGAAGGGTTCTGCATTGATGTTGAAGGTGAATTTTTTTGTTCTGAAAAAAGATATAATATTTGCGTGTAATCAATCATCTTTACAACAGATTGACGTCATTCAGTGTTGCCAGAAAAGGCAGCATTTGATGTCACGAAAAACAAGCACAAATTTAGAAACCTTTTTGTCTAAAAGCGTGCAGCGCAAAGCAATTCTTAGGCCTGACAAGAACTATATCCACCATAATGATGTCATTTATCTCATTTTGTTGAATAACACTAGTATATAGGTCTGTTCTCGCAAAACATCAAGTAAAAATTTTCAGAGCAAAAATATTGCGAATATTGCAGCTGTACATCAGAGATCAGCGCGAGAAAAAGAGCAATAAATTTCAGTAAATCAACAACCATCAAGTAACCGTTGATACTATACGCGTCTTGAAGAAAAAAACTTGCGACCAACATACCCCTCTTCTTTTTCGGTAGTCGCACTTGTCGTCGTCGAATCTGGTGTGGCTTCGTGTGAGGTCGTTTGTGTTGTGCTTGGCGCTGGCGCTGATGCCGTAGCCGGAGAACTGCCATCGGTACGAGGAGATGAGGTGGTTGCCGCGGCTTCAACCTGCTGCAAGGTAGAAGGAAATCCAAGATTTCATATTAAGACAATCTGCTTGATAGTGGATGATGCAAAAGTTACTTATACAGATCGATAGAAAGAAATCCAAAATATGTCTGCGAAAGTTCTTCACAAAAGAAAACAAAACTGGCTATTAGTCCTACCTGATCATTGGTAGAACTTGGCATAGGGTCCTGTGGACTAGTTTCCACGGCATGAGGGGGTGATGCTGGTGTGGGCGTGGCTGCAAATTTGCTAATACACGTCATCGAAGACTTTGTTTTGGAATATAGCAACGATTTAGGGGGCACAAACTATAACAAAAGAGTTAAAGCTGATGCGTATTTACTAACCTCTTTGCGAAGAATTATGCGCATTTGTGACACTTGTCGGCGGACCACGCGCCCATGCGTTACCGGAAGGTGCCGCTAGCACGGGTCGTGCCGGAGATTCTCGAGGAGTGTCCACCTATAATGAAACAGTTAAACATCCCATTACAGCCTTGATTGACGCAAATATCGACAAAGTTTTAAGATGTTATGAGCGAGTACCTTGCAAAGAACTGACATCTTAGCAAACAAAATTGTTACGCAGAAAAATTTGCGCAGCAAAATACTGAGCAACGACGTATAATGCGAGAGGAAACCGAGTCTGCATTCAATCAATCGATTCAGGCATTCGTAAAAAGCAAAGGTCGCAGCACTTCTCCGCACTCTCTACACGCATGTCTAGCATGTAACAATAGACTAAC